AGGCGCCTGCCACCACACCCAGCTAATTTTTGTATTTTTAGTACAGACGGTTTCACCATGTTGACCAAGCTGGTCTTGAACTCCTGATCTCAAGTGATCCTCCCACCTCAGTCTCCCAGAGTGCTGGGATTACAGGCATGAGCCACTGTGCCTGGCCCCCACCTCATTTTTTATAGCATCTTACTTATTCATAGTTGTAATATCTTTTCTTGAAATAAGTCAATTTTAGTTTCTACTCTTTCCATAGTTATTGCTTTCTCCAAATTCTGTATATTTTTTTATTTCATATATGTTAGAAGTTTTCCTCAAAAGTCTTATATTAGTCTGTTCTCATGCAGCTAATACAGACATACCCAAGACTGGGTAATTTACAAAGGAAAGAGATTTAATTGACTCACAGTTCCACATGGCTGGGGAGGCCTCACAATCATGGCAGAAGGTGAATGAGGAGCAAAGTCACATCTTACATAGTGGCAAGCAAGAGAGCTTATGCAGGGGAACTCCCATTTATAAAACCATCAGATCTCGAGAGACTTATTACCATGAGAACAGTATGGGGGAAACTGCCCTCATGATTCAATTATCTCCACCTGGCTGCACCATAGGAATTATTGCAATTCAAAGTGAGATTTGGGTGGGACACAGGCAAACCATATCAAGTCTGATGACCCAGGAGTGTTCTTTCATAGTTCAGAGTATACAGCTATGCTGCCTGGAAACTGTGTGTGAGTAACCAGGGCCTGTGGATGTGTGTGCTTCACTGTATGCTAGGGTGGTGGTCTAGCTTTTTATTGGAGGATTCCCAGCTATCAGCTTCGACAGGTCTTTTCTCTTTGGCCATTCTCTTTCTCCAGGAAAGTATCTGCCACTCTTCTATTAGGAAGGTATAAAAATCTAGCTGCTGGAGTTCTGGGAGCTGGATGGCAGAAGAGAGCAAGGAACTTTTACTTTGTTACTGTTTTTTAGGCCCAGTCTTCCCCTCTACCCTCTGCTGTGTCTGGTATTTCAAGTCCTGAGCCCACCTGGTTCAGTTTCTCCAAATAATAAATGTCCCATCTCCTCTAAATGTGGGATAAGAAACTGAGAAATCTACCTGCTCTTAGGCAGAATTTCAACTCATCTCCTCATGTTCCACCTTGTTCTCCACCCATACTTTCTGTAGCACCCAGTGCTTGTGGGTCCTGAATTTTACCTGCTCTGTTGGCTTGCGTCTTATCTGTGTTACCTCTGTGCCTGATGTCTGTCACCTGCATCTCTGCTGCTGAGTCATTTATTGTTCATTCATTTTCTGTACTTCTACTTTATGACTCAGGTTATAGATATCTGTTCATTTCATTGAAGAAGAGGTTTGTGATTTTATTTCTCATATTTTCTTGTTGTTTGTACTGACTTCTGAGAGAAGGATGGGGCAAAAAGATTTTTACTCGGCCATTTTCTGACTGGAGTAATTTTTGTTTTATAATGAGAAAAAAACAAAAAGCGGTTTTCATCTTTAGAGGAAATTAAGTTACACTACTCATTGAGAAATTTAGGGCCGGGCTTAGTGGCACATGCCTGTAATCCCAGCACTTTCACTTGAGCTCAGGAGTTCAAGACCAGCCTGGGCAACCTAGGGAGACTCTGTCTCTACAAAAAAGTTTTTAAAAATTAGTCTGGCATGGTGGTGTGTGCCTGTAGTCCCTGCTACTCCAGAGGCTGAGGCAGGAAAGTCACTTGAGCTTGGGAGGTCGAGGCTTCAGTGAGTCACGATCGCACCACTGCACTCCAGCCTGGGCGAAAGAGACCCTGTCTTAAAAAAATAAAATAAATTTAGTAGAAATGGAAACAGTTATGACTAAGAAAACATTATAATAATCACTGAAACATTTTATAAGCAGACTTAGTTGTTTTTGAAGGTAGCAAGGAGTTTGAGAGAGAAATTGAAGTAGGGCCCTGGTAAAGGTCAGAATGTCATCAAGAACACAGGTAGAGAGCTTAGCTCTCATATGGAAGTGAAGGAAGAAATGCCACAATTTAGAGGTAGCAAGGAGACAAGACTAGAGGTCACACTCAGAAGTGAAGTTCATTTAGTAAATAAAAGTGCCAAGCATTTCAAACCTTATTAATAAGTGACTTTTCGGCCAGGCGCGGTGGCTCAAGCCTGTAATCTCAGCACTTTGGGAGGCCGAGACGGGCGGATCACGAGGTCAGGAGATCGAGACCATCCTGGCTAACACGGTGAAACCCCGTCTCTACTAAAAAATACAAAAAACTAGCCGGGCGAGGTGGCGGGCGCCTGTAGTCCCAGCTACTCGGGAGGCTGAGGCAGGAGAATGGCGTAAAAACCCGGGAGGCGGAGCTTGCAATGAGCTGAGATCCGGCCACTGCACTCCAGCCTGGGCGACACAGCGAGACTCCGTCTCAAAAAAAAAAAAAAAAAAAAAGTGACTTTTCATATTCTTCAGCCCACTTTGTTGCTTCTAATTTTTGTTCAGTGGAATTTAGTCAATGAACAGCCAAAGCATGCAGTTGAATACAATTCAATACAATTTGAAGTTTCTTTCAAAATTAGATCGTTTTCCCCAAAGATCTTAAATGGTTATAGATCATTGAGCACACTAAATCAAAATACAGTTGTCTCTGCATATCCATGGGACATTGGTTCTAGGACCTCTGCAGATACCAAAGTCAAAATGGAGTAATATTAGCACATAACCTACACATGTCCTCCCAAATACTTCTAATCATTTCTAGATTACTTGTAATAATACAATGTAAATGCTATATAAAGAGTTATTATACTGTGTTGCTTTTAATTTATTGGGGATTTTTTCCTCGAATATTTTCGATCCACAATTGGTTGAATCTGAGGATGGAGAACCCATGGATATGGAGGGCTGACCATAATAACTCTAATCACCAGATGGTTTTTGCTTTTTTTTTGGAACTGGGGTCTCACTCTGTCACTCAGACTGTAGTGCAGTGACAAGATCATGGCTCTCTGCAACCTCTGCCTCCCAGGCTCATGCGATCCTCCCACTTCAGGCTCCTGTGTAGCTGAAAACACAGGCGTGCGCCACCACACCCAGCTAATTTTTTTGTATTTTTGTTAGAGACAGGGTTTCGCCATGTTGCCCAGGCTGGTCTCAGACTCCTCAGCACAGGTGATCCCTCACCTTAGCCTCCCAAAGGGCCGAGATTACAGGCATGAACCACTGCATCTGGCCTTAGAAATGGAATTCTTTATCTAGCAAGTCTTTATTATTAGTTCACACTTTTAAACACTTGCCAATCATATTTTCTAATATAGATACTTGTTTAAAATCCCACTACTTTGAAAATGGATTCAAGTGTCTGTAGACATTTACTTGACTGTTGGGATTTTTAAATTTTCCTCTGATATAGACAATCATATCAGACTGTTGAGTATGACTGATTTTTTTTTTAGTTACAAAATTTATTTATTTTTTTAGTTACAAAATTTATTTTTCATTTGTAAAATATTTGAGATTATAGGACCCCTTCCCCCAGTTCCTGGCCTAAATCTTTTTTTTTTTTTTTCCCCCAAGACGGAGTCGTGCTTTGTCACCCAGACTGGAGTGCAGTGGTGTGATCTTAGCCCACTGCAACCTCTGCCTCCTGGGTTCAAGCAATTCTCCTGCCTCAGCCTCCCAAGCAGCTGGGATTACAGGCATCCACCACCGTACCTGGCTAATTTTTGTATTTTTAGTAGAGACAGGGTTTCACCATGTTGGCCGGGCTGGTCTCGACCTCCTGATCTCATGATCCACCCGCCTCAGCCTCCCAAAGTGCTGGGATTACAGATGTGAGCCACTGTGCCCAGCCAACCCTAAATCTGTTTTGTTTGTTTTTTGAGACAAAGTCTCACTTCTGTCCCCCAGGCTGGAGTGCAGTGGCGCCATGTTGGTTCACCACAACCTCCGCCTTCTGGGTTCAAGCGATTCTCCTGCCTCAGCCTCCTGAGTAGCTGGGATTACAGTTGTGTGCCACTGCACCTGGCTAATTTTTTGTATTTTTAGTAGAGATGGGGTTTCACTGTGTTGGCCAGGCTGGTTTTGAACTATTGACCTCAGGTAATCTGCCCGCCTCGGCCTCCCAAAGTGCTGGTATTTATAGGCGTGAGCCATTGCACCCGGCAACCCTAAATCTTATTCCACATAAGAATACTTAAGTAAATTCTATTTACAGACAATCATTATCATAAGTCTTCATGAAACTCGATATTTTACATTGCAAATTCTAGTATGTTTTACCAACTTCAGAGGAAAGGCAGTGTCTTATAGAAATTAATCTGCTTGTTTTCAAATGATCAAGAATACAAAGGATTATGTGTTTAAAATGGCAAATTTTTATTCAATTTTATATTTTCTAAAAATTGTCTAGACTAATGGTAGAGTTGACCAATTATTGAAGTGAGTTTAAAACACTGTATTGGGAATGCTTACTGGGCATTTCTGCTGTTCAATGGTGATTGCTTATTTAATAAATTCTTACAGCTTTACAACTTAAAATTGTTCATATTTTAATCAGTAGGGAAGGAAATAGGGAGAAGAAGGTGAAGGAACTATGTAAGGTAGTAGTTCTCAAACACCAGCTTATAGATTTGTGTCTGTCTCCTACAAAGAATTCACTGGTCTGCTGTGAAATAACAAAACTATGGTATGGAGAGATGAGCTTAAGATATACTTCAAGACTAGAAACTATTCACATTTGAGCATATATTATGGTCGATAGAGGAGGCTTGGCTTTTTCTGATCCACACTGAAAAATAAGCTATGAGAAAGGAACTCACTCTTCACTCTATGGCACTATTAAGTTATGTATATTATATAATATATAGCATTTTATTTAAGTGATAACAAAGTGTCTTGGGACTCCCTTCCAACATCTCTTTTTCATGTACTAACTGTGCTTTTTCCTCGTGTCTAATTGAAGCTTAATGTGTGTAAACTAGACAAGGTAGATGACAAATGGTTAATGACTTTTTTTGTTTTCTTTAGATACATCCAGAAAGTGCCCAGAAGAAACTTTCTGCTGGAAAAATTGAAAAAGCAGTATTTATAACATTAGAATTTGTGGATAATTTGTTAAAATGGCAGAAAATAATGAAAATAATAGTAAAAATGTAGACGTAAGGCCCAAGACTAGTCGGAGCAGAAGTGCCGACAGAAAAGATGGTTATGTGTGGAGTGGAAAGAAGTTATCTTGGTCAAAAAAGAGTGAGAGTTATTCAGATGCTGAAACGGTGAATGGTATAGAGAAAACTGAAGTGTCTTTAAGGAACCGAGAAAGGAAGCACAGCTGTTCATCCATTGAGTTGGACTTAGATCATTCCTGTGGGCATAGATTTTTAGGCCGATCTCTTAAACAAAAACTGCAAGATGCCGTGGGGCAGTGTTTTCCAATAAAGAATTGTAGTAGTCGGCACTCTTCAGGGCTTCCATCTAAAAGGAAAATTCATATCAGTGAACTCATGTTAGATAAGTGTCCTTTCCCACCTCGATCAGATTTAGCCTTTAGGTGGCATTTTATTAAACGACACACTGCTCCTATAAATTCCAAATCAGATGAATGGGTAAGCACAGACTTGTCTCAGACTGAATTGAGGGATGGTCAGCTAAAACTAAGAAATATGGAAGAAAATATAAACTGTTTCTCACATACCAATGTTCAGCCCTGTGTCATAACCACCGACAATGCTTTGTGTAGAGAAGATCCTATGACTGGCTCTGTGATGAACCTGGTTTCAAATAACAGTATAGAAGATAGTGATATGGATTCCGATGATGAAATTCTAACACTTTGCACAAGTTCCAGAAAAAGAAACAAACCCAAATGGGAATTGGATGATGAAATCCTGCAGTTGGAAACACCTCCTAAATACCACACGCAGATTGATTATGTCCACTGTCTTGTACCAGACCTCCTTCAGATCAATAACAACCCATGTTACTGGGGAGTAATGGATAAATATGCAGCCGAAGCACTACTGGAAGGAAAACCAGAGGGTACCTTTTTACTTCGAGACTCAGCACAGGAAGACTATTTATTCTCTGTTAGCTTTAGACGCTATAGTCGTTCTCTTCATGCTAGAATTGAACAGTGGAATCACAACTTTAGCTTTGATGCACATGATCCCTGTGTCTTTCATTCTCCTGACATTACTGGGCTTCTAGAACATTATAAGGACCCAAGCGCCTGTATGTTCTTTGAACCACTGCTGTCCACTCCTTTAATTCGGACTTTCCCCTTTTCCCTGCAGCATATATGCAGAACAGTTATTTGTAACTGTACGACTTATGATGGCATCAATGCCCTTCCAATTCCTTCTTCTATGAAATTATATCTGAAGGAATATCATTATAAATCAAAAGTTAGAGTACTCAGGATTGATGCACCAGAACAGCAATGCTAGTAACAGGATAGGAGCATGGGAATGATATATATTTTTTCTTTTAATATTTTGTTTTTCTTATTATGCCACTTTGAATTTTTCTGCGAAGGCAGTGGTATCCAAAATAAATCTCTGCCCTAAATTTTACTTACAAATCCATTTTTTTAATGATACACAAATTGTTTAAGGTTTTACACTAGAGCTTAAATAGATACTTTTAACCAGGTGTTTGGTTTTTGTTTTTACCTTGTAGGTTGTATACTTACATTTTTTCTTTCCTTAATTTACACATGATCCAGGCATATTTGAAATTTGGTAGGCATTGCAAACACATTTGAATATTTTATATTTCATACTTTTCTTTAAAAAGTAATCTTACATCCCTTCCTACATGTGAAATATTTTGTTAATCTATGCCATTAGTAGTAGTATATGTAAACTATAGTTACCCATCCCCCTTTTCATTGAGTTTGACATTCTTCAGTAAAGCTGAATGTTGTAATTCACCATTCATACTAATGTTATTGACTTTTGTAACTTACTAGTAGGGATGTTAAAGGTAACAAAACCAAGTCAAACTTGATGTGTTTTTATTTTAAATATTAACTCTAAAGCGGGATTACTAAATTTGATTAATCTGGTCAATGAGAATCAAATGAAAACATAATGTTCTGGAGGGGCACTTACTTTTCTACAATGTGGCCGGATCATTTGTCATTTCTGAATAGGTCTTTCTCTCAACCTGCAAGAGCTAAACCATCTTCAAAACATAAATCTTGTTCCTTTCTCATTGGAAGCTTTGAAAATAATGATAACACTATTAGTAGCTATTAGTTACTGAAGTGCTAAAGTAATTGTGGGGTTTTTCTGTATTAGCTTATGAACTGTTGCTTCTACTTAGCCCTTTTATAGAAACTCTGAGCTGTTACTTTGGGGAAATTCCGCAATGTATAAGCAGCCACAAATTTCCACTGGTAACCAAAGAGTACCTAAGTATTTTTTATTATTTTAAGTTGAACTTGAATAAAGATTCAAGAAATAAACATGGAGCTCAGTATTCAGGAAGCTTAATATTGTTTTTGATCTACAAGATCCAAATAATTATCTCTATCTTCAGAATTAACTTAGTCTTTAACGTGGCTTCAAAAAAAGAGAAGCCTTTTGACAGCGGCATGACTTATGGCATACAAAGCAGTACTGGACAAAAGGGGTGATATTTTAAATTTACTGTCCCAGAAACAGGGCAACGTTTTTAGAAACATCTTTATCCCAAGGTAACTAGTAAAAATAAATGGAGTGGTATCCTATCTAACTTCTTTTTTTAAAGAATCAATGAATAATAAATGTAGACAGACAATTTTTCTTTTTTTTTTTTTTTTGAGATGGAGTCTCGCTCAGTCGCCCAGGCTGGAGTGCAGTGGCCGGATCCCAGCTCACTGCAAGCTCCGCCTCCCGGGTTTACACCATTCTCCTGCCTCAGCCTCGCGAGTAGCTGGGACTACAGGCACCCGCCACCTCGCCCGGCTCGTTTTTTGTATTTTTTTAGTAGAGACGGGGTTTCACTGTGTTAGCCAGGATGGTCTCGATCTCCTGACCTCGTGATCCGCCCGTCTCGGCCTCCCAAAGTGCTGGGATTACAGGCTTGAGCCACCGCGCCCGGCCGACAGACAATTTTTCTTCTGGTGAGCTGTCTAACCCTTTGTACAAATTGACTTTTTTTTTTTTTTTTTGAGATGGAGTCTCGCTCTGTCGCCCAGGCTGGAGTGCAGTGGCGCGATCTCGGCTCACTGCAAGCTCCGCCTCCCGGGTTCACGCCATTCTCCTGCCTCAGCCTCCGAGTAGCTGGGACTACAGGCGCCCACAACCGCGCCCGGCTAATTTTTTGTATTTTTAGTAGAGACGGGGTTTCACCGTGGTCTCGATCTTCTGACCTTGTGATCCGCCCGCCTCGGCCTCCCAAAGTGCTGGGATTACAGGCGTGAGCCACCGCGCCCGGCTACAAATTGACATTTTTAATGTCGTAATGGATTTCTTGATGCTAGTTTAGCTATATTAGGAAACTGCTTCTACCTGGATTGAAAGAAATTTGACTCAAACTTCCAAGTTAGAACAAATATTTCTTCATTATTGTTGCTTTTATGTGAGTAGCATTTCCCTATCTTGCAGTTCTGTTAAAATGAAAATGGCATTTTTCCATAATAGCTTTAAAACAATTTTTTAGTAATTATTACAAAATTAAATAAGGAAAATCTCTATTACTGTTATCTTTCAGCATTTTTTTTTCTCAGTGATCTCAAGATTGTCTTAGTCTCAATGAGATGTAGCTACAAAAATGGCACCTCTCAGCAGTGATGAGGCTCCGGATATCATAACACCAATGCCAGGATAAATATCTCTTCTAAAGACGGTATTTACCTTTTACAAGGTTAGAAAAGTCTCATACTACCTCATCTTTATTGTGGCGCTTTTGTAGATCACTGAGAAGCTTATCTTATTAACAAATATACCACTTCTTAAATATCCATCTTTGGTGAAATAAAATAGTGTGGTAAGACTACCCATGATTATAGTTTTTTATCAGAATTTGATAAGATTTTCTGTTTCTGTGAAACAATTATTTTAAATATTTTTCTTTTAAAAATAACTTTTTATCAGTACAGAAAAACCTAAGGGATGACTAGCTTACAAATATTCTGTTACGGGGTAGTTTTATAAAGAAAAATGATATATAATTATGTTGTCTTTTATAGTGTTAAAATTAGTATTTATATGAAAGTCAAGATCTAAGTACCTTTTCATATAATTCAAACTGATTGCTTGTGATATGTTTTCTCTGGCTTTTTTTATTTTTTCAACTTCAAGGTATTAACAGCTGTTAACACTTAAAAGTACTGCCACATATGTAGCCTTGAAGTAGATGATCTAATAAATGAGAGGAGGGAAGAGATTCATTGACTCTGAAATGATTTTTATTTTTCCTTTGGTATTTGCTACAGTGAAAAGAAGTTTGGAAAGTAGATATATAAAGACTTGAGAAGGGAATTGTTTAAGGGAAAAGAAAAGAGTAAGAATTGTTTTTAAAATATTAAGGAATTGGAATTCAGAAAGGTTACCCCCTTCCTCTGTGTCTTGTGAGGATACATTTGGAAGAACATACAGTATTCAGAAACTAACCTATATAAAATGTAAACAGTATATTGATTGCACTATATAAATGAGTAAATTTTAAGAGGAACAATGTGGGAATATATAAATTTGTCTAAAATTTTGTAACTCTGTTGAACAAAGGGAAGATTTGAAAAGTGTAAATTCCAGAGTTGAGAAAGTATTTAGCATGGTGGAAATGTGGAGAGCTTATTGGTGAGAGAGGATGGAGCTAAGAGAAATAAGATCAAATATTAAAATTAGGAATTTAGGCATTACCTCAGGGAAAAGCCTTGACAGTGAAAAGAAACTACTTAATCGCTAATAGCTAGTCTGGACCAGACACTTAACTGCGCTTTGGGAATCATCCTGGGCTAATCAGGAAATAAACTTGACTTTTCTATTTTTCTCTGAAGCTTTACAGGACATACTCCCACTCCCATTTTTTCCGAAGCCTACAGCATCTTGATTAATAGTATAATTCCTGAAGTATGCTGAATGGACTTTAAGGTTCCTTTAGCATTTCTGTATAGAGTTATATGTGATCTTTCTATAACCATGCCATTCACTTAAATAATTCATGAAGGGAATGGTTTAATTTAAAGGAAGACCTAATAGGAAGAAGATTAAAGGAAGCTTTTAGTCAGCCTGTGGCTAGATTTATTGATTTGGTGATCAAACCTGTGTTCTTTCCTGAATTTCAGCTAATGGCCAACTGTGGTCAAAGAATGGCTTTCAGTTAAAGTTTTGACTTCTTATTATAAATAATATAAAGAATGTCTTAGTAATTAGAAATCCCTTAATAAGTAGAACAAATGTGGCAAGTAGGACTCCTGTCAGTACACAAATTCCATTTCTTTTTATAAGAAAAACACATAAACCATTATCATTTATTCATGAGCCAAAGCCATTAAGAAGATAAATCCAGTTATCAGCTTCCTGTCTCTGAAGTTTGGATCATTTTATAGATCCACGCAATAGAGAGCTTCCTTCCTATGAAACAAAAACCTTGAGATCTCTTTTTTTTTTTTTTTGAGACGGAGTCTCGCTGTTGTCGGCCCAGGCTGGAGTGCAATGGTGCATCTTGGTTCACTGCAACCTCTGCCTTCCAGGTTCTAGCAATTCTCCTACCTCAGCTCCTGAGTAGCTGAGATGACAGGCGTGTGCCACCATGCCTGGCTAATTTTTGTATTTTTAGCAGAGACGGGGTTTCACCATGTTGGCCAGGCTGGTCTCGAACTCCTGACCTCAGGTGACCACCCGCCTCTGCCTCCCAAAATGCTAGGATTACAGGCATGAGCCACCATGCCTGGCAGAGATCTAACTCTTATACTTAACTTTTCTTTAAAATATTTCTTGTCACTTTTACCTATAATCAAAATCCAATTAACAGCTTACACATTCATTTTGGTAAAGCAAATTTCACAGAAAAGTAGACAAAATTATAAGAGTTTCCTGGAGACAACACAAGGAAAACAATGTTTAAATGTAAAATAGCCTGTGTAATGTTAGGTGATGTAATGCCCAAGTGAATAAAAGATTTTTAGCCAAGCAAACTACTGTTTCTACTTTAGAGGAAAAAAAGTCAGTTTTCCATTTGTATTTTAAGGAAAGAACAGAAAGCACAAAGGTTTTTCTTTATTAGTGGCCTACTAGAAATGAGCAGTGCAAGAGTCTACCTGTACTATTCTAATACAGTAAGATACTGGACACAAAATGGAGGTAACTTTTTAAAATAGATTGGCTTGGAAGTTGAAATGTAGATTAATGGATATAACCCAATAGAAAGGGATTTTAAAATAAAGCCAAAGTCTATTTTTTTATTTACTTTCTAATTTTGAACAGGTTACTCAGTCTAAATCTTCTTTGCCTTTATTTCCTATAAAATGTAGGTGATACTTGTCACTCGACTTCCTGGAGGTTAATTCTTCAGCAAGAGGTGACCCTGAGAGCATACTTTAAAATAATTGCTGTACAGCCATTGAGTACTAACGTGATGATAGGTTTTCAAAATATCTCTGTAGTGGACCCTGCATAATTACATTCACTTCTCTTAGACTGTAAAATACTTTCTTGACTTGTTTTAACAGTAGAGATAGCAGTACAATTTGAATTTATGGTTTAGGCTCTGCAATTAGAGGAACAACTGCAGTTTCCTCCTACCCTTCAGAATATGGTCTGTGTAAAACTGATGTTTGCCTAACTTATTTTAAAAGTTGGTTACGTTTTCAGAAAATAAAGATAATCACTTTTGCCATGGTTATAATCAAATCTAAGCTTTCAGACTTGAGAGCCATGGTGTAAAACTCAAGGAGGTTTACTTAAATTATGCTGACTTTGCTAGAATTGGATAAATTCTATATAAGCCAAGTATGAGTTCACATGTACTCAAATATGCAGTTTTCACAAAGCTATTACTCTTGTTAATCAGGCTTGTATGATTTATTCCTTACCACGAAAGAAGTAGACAATTGCCACTTTTATTTCTAATCCTTAAGTTGAATGTTTCTTCTTGGATGTAAGTTCAAATAAACTGATCTGGATAAATTTTCATTTCTTCTTAATTAAAACTTCCTATGTAAAATCCAAAGGCTTTGTGTTTTATTTTAAAAACATATGTCTTCACACATTCAACTTAGAATCTGAAAAAAATAGAGAAATCCACATTCTTACACATTTTCTAATTTATAATACACTCCTTTTAGTTTTTTGTGTTTGGATCTTCCAGAAGCAGGTGCCAAGAGGTGCAAGAGATTTATTTGGAGTGAAATACCTAGAAAGATAAAGAAGGGAGCAGAAGGTGGGGAATTCTTCATACCACTCTGAAAGTCTGACACCTGGAAGGAAGGATTGGGTAGGGGAGCTTTGGACTTCAGTGCACCTTCAAACTGCTAGATGAGGACTTAGTTCCCAAGCAAAGGTTCCCTGTAGACAAGTCCACAGGGACAGGAATGGCCTAGATCTAGACCCCTCCAATGTGCTCAGCTACTGGCTGATTGCAGGCAAGGAAAAGTTGGAGGCTATCCATTACTGGTACAGTGCCAGGACTAGGGTATGGTGAGGCACTTGGGCACAAATATTTGACTAATAGACTAAGGAAGACAATGTTTTGGTGCAATATTGTAAAATCAGAATTGATGCCAAAAAAAGCCTATGATGAGCAAGATACCAAATTTCAAATCAAACATGACTGGATTGCTGATTTCTTGTTGCTTCAGGCTTCACCATGGCTCCACAAAGCACTGCTTATTCACTGTCTCCAGTGAGGACAGGCTAGGTCCACACTAGTCGTGTAATTTTCCATAGGCCTGTGTGCCCTTATCCAAAAATAAGACTCTGGGCTTAGATATTTTAAGTTCCTCTGTTGCCCCTTTTTCAGTGTGAGAATTGTGTTTGCTGTGGAATACATCCAGGGATGTCTTCCTTTAAATAAGTTCACAGTTTTAAATGGCCACCCCCTGACTCACTAATGCCTTACACAAAGCAAGATGCAAGTGCACCACATGCTTTTAGGATATTTTTATACGTTAAAAAAATGTATATTGGCCGGGCGCAGTGGCTCACGTCTGTAATCCCAGCACTTTGGGAGGCCGAGGCAGGCGGATCACAAGGTCAAGAGATCGAGACCATCCTGGCCAACATGGTGAAACCTCGTCTCTAAATTAGCTGGGCAACGTAGAGCGCGCCTGTAGTCCCAGCTACTTGGGAGGCTGAGGCAGGAGAATCGTTTGAACCCGGGAAGCGGAGGTTGCAGTGAGCTGAGATAGCGCCGCGCCACTGCACTCCAGCCTGGCAACAGAGCGAGACTCCGTCTAAAAAAATACATATATTGCATATATGTGTCTATTTTGCACACCATATAATTGTCACGACATCTTTATTGCTAGTTAGTAGGTTCCTTGACTGGGGTCATGTCATCTGTGCCTGACACAGGAGGTAATGTTTATTCAGAAATGAAGATCGCGGCTGGGCGCGGTGGCTCACGCCTGTAATACCAGCACTTTGGGAGGCCGAAGAGGGCGGATCGCTTGAGACTAGCAAGGTGAGACCCCATCTCTACTAAAAACACAAAAATCAGCGGGTGTGGTGACACACGCCTGTAGTCCCAGCTACTAGGAGGCTAAGATGGGAGGATAGCTTGAGACCACCAGGCAGAGGTTGCAGTGAGCCGAGATCGCGCCACTGCATTCCAGTCTGGGTGACAGATGCCTCGTCTCAAAAACCACAAAAAAGAACATAGGAGAAGAGGCATTGATGAGGAAAACTCAGCAAAGACAGCAAATATCAATTTGTTAAGCTATTTGCAAAGGTTTTCTCTTTCCTGTATTAATCTTTTCCCTCTCCCCACTTTTGGCCCGAGGATCTGAATCGTTCGGTCAGGCAGAAATCAGACCGCGTCCATACCCAGCCTCCTTCGAGGCCTAGCTGTAAAAACCGCTGAGCAAAGGGAATCCAGAATCAGCCCTCAAGCAACTCAAGACAAGTTAGCAATTTCCGCCGGTATGCCGTGAACACCGGCGACCACTGGCGTTTCCTCTGAGTCCTCGGAACTCCGGAAACTCTGGGAGCTTTCAGCCCGCCCATCAGGGGAAAGCGGCCCGGGGCCGGCGCCAGGTGGAGCCCATCCCCCTGCGTCTGGCGGGCCGCAGTACCGCCAGGGGCCTGCGGGAGGCGCACGCGGCGCGGCCTGAGGGGAGGGGGAGAGCGGGCGGAGGCGGTGCGCTCGGCGCTTCCTGTTCCGGCGCCAGGAGGAGCCGCGCGCTGCTGGTGCTGTTGCCGCCGCTGCTTTCCCTGCCGTCAGTCAGGCTGCGCCCGCTTCTTCAGGGCCCAGTCCCTCGGACCCATCGCCGCTTCTAGACCCTACTGCGGTCTCGGATATTGCCGGGTGAGGCTGCTTCGGTACTAGTGGGAGTCGTGAAGGGGAATCGGGGGGCTGGGGTTGCGGAGCCCGCGGGCGCGGCCAAGCGGGAAGCGGGCGCGGTAACTGAGGTGCATCGAGTCACGTCCAGTGCTCGGGCCGTGGTCGCCTGCCTGGGACCGGGGCTAAGCGTTTCTCTCGGTCGCCTTCCTCCACGCTGCGGGCTGCCTGGGGATCGCCCCCCAGGGAGAAGGTGTAGGAGGCCGCTGACGTCGCGCCCGACGGGTTTCTGGGCGCCTGACGTCAGGCCTGGCTGCGGGGCGGGGCGGGCGCGGGCCGGCCCCTCCCCCACCCTTTCCCGGCGGGCGCGACCCGCTCGGAGGCCGGTTCGCTCCGGTTGATCCCGGACTCCCTTTGTTCGTGCGTCCCTAAAAGGCTGCCGGCCTCGCGCCTTTTGGCCCCGATTTCCCCTCTACCCCCACCCCATTGCACCCATTCATTAATTTCTAATAAAAAGGGAAAAGCCTGAAAAGATTATTACAGGAATCTCGGGCGCTTGTTAATCCGCAGTGTGACAACGCTCTGGTTATGACTCACTAGAGGAATTGCCCACGGATACGTTAGATGAATACCCAGGGCAAACCACGAGAAGGGCAGAATTTAGGGATCTCCTTTTTAGGACTGAAGAGCGCATACCTACGATAGCTTATATATAGGGGGACCGTTTTCCTCTTTACCTTGAAAAGCAAGAGTACAGCTTTTAATAGGTAAAGATTGCAGTGTTAAAGCATGAAGCCGGACTCGCTCGACCGAAAATTTTTTTTTTAGTTTTACTGCTAGAGAAATACACACCTGGGGGTTGTAAAGGTCTGTTTTGAAAAGGAACCCTCATTACAGGCAAAGGTAGCCTTCAGAAACATTTTGTAAGTTCTTTGTTCACTGGTGTTCTTTGAGGGAAGAATAGAAATTTTTCATGCTGGCATCTCTGAGCCCACAATGCAAAGCGAGTTTGCTTCAGAAACTTGGAGTGAATTGCAAATATTGGAATGTTCTTTTCCTCTCTCCAGGAGGAATGGGTAATATCCATCCCCAGTCTCTTAGCTGAAACTTTTGAAGCTAGTGTGTTTTGAATTCAAAAATACTTGGATTTTATCTTCATCTTTTTAGAAAGACGACATGTTAGACGAGAGATAACACCCCCAGCAGAATGGGGCACCGCATCATCCAACATTAATATTTGCAGCAATAGATGTGAGCATTCATTCTAAGTGGGGGCGAATAGAAACTATAAATAGCTTCAGGTCACATTTTGCCACCATGTAAGATTTGTGCCAAACTTGGGAAAGTTTATTTTTTCGGAAGTCTCTGGATTGAGAAGGGCAGATAAAGATTTATGGACCTAAAAGTAGGCATCGTAAAAGCTAATATTTGTTGAGGTTTTGCTATATTCCAGGCAGTGACTAAGAGATTTGTTTATTATATAAGTCTTAGAGCAAATCTATGATGTGGATACGATTCTGATCTCCCTTTGCCTCGAGTTTGGAGAGTTGGACTTGTCAACTCTGGCCAGTCCAACCAGTGAAGAGCTGCAGTTGTAGCTGGATGGTCATACTTCAGCGTTTACTCTTTTACCTATAAGCTAGATGTCCACATACAAGGGAAAGAGAATTTGGTACCTGTTTTCCACCCAAGCACTATTTTAGGCACTTGATTGGACAGAGTCCAATTTAGTTCATCGCAGCATTACTGGTCTGGTTGTTTTTTGTTTTTTGTTTTTAACTGCGTGCTTTTTACAAACAGTATGGCCTGTTCTTTATAGTTCAGGTTCATTCAGATGAGCCGACTCTTACTGAAATAATTCAAACCCTCGTCTAAGGTCTCTCTGCTAAGACTTTCCCCTTCCCTTGCTATATTCTAACCCATCTGAACTGCTTATACCTCCTCACAGATTCTCCCAATTTTTACACCAACTGCTCTTCTTTCCCTAGGACCCATGTCACCGCCCTCTACTCCCAGCTCTTTCCTTATGGTCCTTATGGACTGCAAAAGACAGCACATCTCAGGAATCTCCATGTAATACTAAAATTTCTCTAAAGCCCAACACATTGTTTGGCACATATGTTCCAATAAATATATAACTAAATGCCAAGAAATATTGCAGGTTGCATATCCCTTATCCCAAATGCTTGGAACCAGAAGTGTTTCAGATTTTGGATTTTTTTTTTTTATATTACACCAGTTGAGCATCCGAAATCCAGAATGCTCTAATGAGCATTTTCTTTGAGCGGCATGTTGGCACTCAAAAAGTTTCAGATTTTTGAGCATTTCAAAACCCCCGTTTTTGAGTTGCCCAAATGTAAAGAATGGAACATAATCAGATAAATGAGCCAATGCTGAAAACTAGCATGTATTCTAATTTATAACTTTTTATTTTTGGAGACAGTCACTCACTGCAAGTTCCGCCTCCTGGGTTCAAGCGATTCTCCTGCCTCAGCCTACCGAAGTAGCTGGGATTACAGGTGTCTGCCACCGTGCCCAGCTAATTTTTTGTATTTTTGGTTGAGATGGGGTTTCACCATGTTGGCAAGGCTGGTCTTGAACTCCTGATCTCACGTGATCCACCCCCCTGGGCCTCCCAAAGTGCCGGGATTACAGGCTTGAGACACTGTGCCCAGCCATTAATTTATATTTTCAGTATGATACATATCATCCCCTGCATACTAAACAAATCAACCCCAAAATTTTGATTTTATTTAATTTCGCCTAATAAATATCTAACATGTATATAGCACTTTATAGATTAAGTGTGTTACTATTTTCTGTGCAGTGGGCAGGAGCTATAACTTCTACAGATGGAAAATGGTCTCATTGAGAAGTTTATTTTTATCAAAAGATACCGTCAAAAAGGATTGATGTCTGGGTTTCATCACTGTGTAGTCCCATACTGTTTATTACTCCGTCACAATTTGAAGGCTCTGTGAAATATCCATGAACTCCACTAGTAATTCATGGAGTTCAACTCTCTTAACCACCCTCCTCCCTGACCCATGATTGAATTGTCATTTTTACCCTAACAGCCATGAGAGTTTCCAAAATGTTATGTTTTACTTTTCTAGTGTATGTCAAAAGAAATTTTGTACTGTTTTAAAATTACTATTCTTGCTGCTCAGAGAATAAAAATTATTATTTTTCAGACGATGGGTGGATCGGACGATGCTATAAAATGGTAACAAAGTTTTGGAAATAATCGCTTTAGATTATTCCAAAAAGGAAAAAAAAATGAAAGCCTTTCTTAAGTATACATTTTTTTTATGAGTTCAAGGTTACATTGGCCTCATCTTAATAATCAGCAGTGAATCAGATATTTTGGAATAGCTTTATATTTTTATTTATTTTTCTTTTTGAGACAGAGTCTCACTATATTGCCCAGGCTGGTCTTTAACTACTGGCCTCAAGCGGTCTTCCCACCTCAGCCTCCTGAGAAGCTGGGATTACAGGTGCACACGACTAAGCGCGGCTTAGAATAGCTTTTTAGAAAACCTAAACTTTTTACGTTCTGCAACTTTCCTCATACTGAAACGTTCATGTCCAACTCTGTTTTTCACCTTTTCTAATGAAAGTATTCTCCAAAGAGCAAATTGGAATGCTTCCAATTACAGTTGTTCCCCCTTATCCTAGGGGGACACATTGCAAGACTCCCCAATGAATCCCTGAAACTGAAGTCTATACACTGCGGAAGCCTAAGTGTACCGTGTTTTTTATATCTAATAACCAAGATGGGCTGATAGCGTATACAGCATGGATACACTGGACAAAGGGATGATTCACGTCCTAGGCAGGAGGGTGCAAACTTTCATTTTGCTACTCAGAACATGCTCTTGCCCCATTTACTTAAGAATTGGCCAGGTGCAGTGGTTCATGCCTGTAATCCCAGCACTTTGGGAGACCGAGGCAGGCGGATTACTTGAAGCCAGGAGTTCAAGACCATCTGGCCAACATGATGAAACCCCATCTCTACCAAAAATTAAAAATTAGCTGGGCGTGGTGTCATGTGCCTGTAATCCCAGCTACTCGGGAGACTCAGGTAGGAGAATCACTTAAACCTGGGAGACTGAGGTTGCAGTGAGTCGAGATCACATCACTGCACTTTAGCCTGGATGGCAGAACGAGACTCCATCCCAAAAACAAAACTTAATTGTTTATTTCTGGAATTTTCCATTTAATACGTTCGGACCTCAGGTAACTAAAACCATGGATGAGGGGGGATTACCCTAACATGAACGCTGATTATTCTAGTAATGGAGAACTGGTTACTTTACTAAGACAGTGCCATAGAACAGAACTTGTTATTAATTCCTATGCTTAGGGCTTTGTTTTCTAATCACGAGATTCTAGCACCTCCCCTATCTTCCAAACTTGGATTTTGAACTTTAAAATTTTGAAGTAGTATTGTGAATCAGTTGAATATTATTAACTTGTAGAATAATTTATGTAATTCTGTGACTAGGTAACTGTGTGATTCTGAAAACCTGAACAGTCAAGACCATTTGGTTCACTTTGATTCTCAACTTCAGAATTAATATGAACTTTGATACAGAATCATTTTCTATTTCAGAAAGGCCAATCCTGTTTAAAAAGCATGTTAGTCTTACAACTTACCATATATTTTCTACACTGTTAGTCGTAAAAATTTTATTGTGTGATATGATTGATGTTAAACCTTAACATGGAAATGGGTTGTATGTGTTTTTTGATATTCTGAATAAAAAGGATATAGCAGTTGGGATAGGCTTGGATTCTTGTCCTTCATGTTCTTGTCCTTTCATTCCTCATGATAACCAAATCATAATTAGAAATAAGATGCTAAGGGGCCAGGCGCAGTGGCTCACACCTGTAATCCCAACACTTTGGGAGGCCGAGGCGGGCAGATCACCTGAGGTCAGGAGTTCAAGATCAGCTTGACCAACATGGGAAAACCCTGTCTCTACAAAAAATACAAAAAATCAGCCGGGCGTGGTGGCGCATGCCTGTAATCCCAGCTACTCGGGAGGCTGAGGCAGGAGAATCACTTGGACCCAGGAGGCAGAGGTTGCGGGGAGCCAAGATCGCACCATTGCACTCCAGCCTGGGCAACAAGAACGAAACTCTGTCTAGAAAAAAAAATAGTAAGATGCTAGGAATATAAGAATACAAAGGTGACTCTATATTAATACTGTATTGATAGGTCAAAGGAGAAAAACCATGAGATCCATTCATTAGAAACTGAAAAGTCTTTTGAGAGAATTTAGTGTCTTCTTGCTTTCTTTATTAACTAACAAAATAGGAATAAATAAATAATAGCATAGGCATAAATTAAAAACTTAATGTAATTTTTTAAAATCTCAAACTAAAAATGGGAATCATACTTAAACATTAGAAGCAGTCCCAGGAGAGTTGGAACAAGACTGCTGTGCCCACTATCACTACTTAACATTTCATTATTTAAGTCCTAGCAGGTGCAAAAGAGAAAATATGCATAATTATTAGAGAAGGAAAATTATTTTTTGCAAATGGCATATTTTTTAAATCTGGAAATCCCAGAGAATCAAGTGAGAAACTTTGAAGAATAATTCAGTAATGTTGCTTCCTACCCTAGGTTAATTAATATAAAGAAGAGTTAAATTCCTATGGCATATTTCTGGTCATAAAAACATCACTAAACTTTTAAATAAAACCCAAAACACTTCTAGTGTTAAACATTTAAATGGACTGGGCACAGTGGCTCACACCTGTAATCCCAGCACTTTGGGAGGCCAAGGTGGGCGGATCACAAGGTCAAGAGATTGAGACCATCCTGGTCAACATGGTGAAACCCCGTCTCTACTAAAAGTACAAAAATTAGCTGGGCGTAGTGGCACGCACCTGTAGTTCCAGCTACTCAGGAGGCTGAGGCACGAGAATCGCCTGAACCGAGGAGGCAGAGGTTGCAGTGAGCCGAGATCACACCATTGCGCTCCAGCCTGGCGACAGAGCGAGACTCCATCTCAAAAAAAAAAAAAAGATTTCTGCTAAAAATTTTTAAAATTAGCTGGTTGTGGTGGTGCATGCCTGTGGTCCCAGCTATTCAAAGGCTAAGGTGGGAGGATCACTTGAGCGTGGGAGGTCGAGGTTGCAGTGAACTGTAATCACACCACTGCACTCCAGCTTGGGTGACAGAGCAAGACCCTGTCTCAAAAAAAAAATTGAAATGAATGTGAGCTGTGTATACATTTGAGAAAGATTAATAAAAAGATAATTATTTGCCTCCCTATTCCAGTTCAGGGTCTCAATGGCTGGAGACTTTCCTGGCAATTCAGAGCCCAAGATGGGAACCAGCCCTGAACTGGATGCCATCCCAGCGCAGGGTGCTCTCGCCCACACCCCCACCCATGGAGACTGGGCCGTGTAGACACATCCATTCATGTGCATCTTTGGGATATGGGAGGCAATTGGAGTACTTGGAGAAGACCCATAAAGATGGGAGAATGAGCTAGCTTCACACAGACAGTGACCTCAGCTGAGACTTTTTTTTTCTTCTCCTCATCAACATTATAACAAAACAAAGTTGAATGAAACGTCTTTTGAGGACCTGCTGTAGACTAAAATTTAAAAAGCTGTCCCATATTTGAACGATCAATTAGAAAGTACAGTGGAAGAAAAGAGCCTATTTGCAACCACAGGAAAAAGTTTAACAGAAATCCCTTAAAAGAAATGTATATACGAGATCTGATCAAGAAAATGATCTACATGAAAAGGACGGGAACTAAACAGTCCTCTGTGTCTGCATTTGCGGGTAGAAAATATTCAGGGAGCCGGGTGAGGTGGTTCTCGCCTGTAATCCGAGCACTTTGGGAGGCCGAGGTGGGCAGATCACTTGAGGCCAGGAGTTGAAGAGTAACCTGGCCAACGTGGTGAAACGCTATCTCTTAAACATAAGAAAAATTAACCGGGTATGGTGGCGCTTGCCTATAATCTCAGTTACTCAGGAGGCTGAGGCAGGAGAATCTCTTGAACCAAGGAGATGGAGGTTGCAGTGAGCTGAGATCATGCTGTTGCACTCCAACTTGAGCAACAGAGTGAGACCCTGTCTCAAAAAAAAAAGAAAAAATACTTGGGGGAAACACAATAAAAAATATAAGTTAATATAATATAGTACTCACACTTTTAAGTGTTATAAATAATGTAGAGATGATTTATACAGGAGGATGTGCATGGGTTATATGCAAATACCACACCATTTTATATCAGGTACTTGAGCATCCTGGGATTTGAGTATCTGCGGGGGTCCTAGAACCAATCTCCCTCAGGTACTGAGGGACTACTATACCTTGTTCTTGAATGAGATGATTCGACATTTTAAGTAGATGTTCCCCAGATTCATCTGTAAATTTAATACATTTCCAACCAGAATGCTAACAGATTTTTTTTTAACGAAATGGAAAAAATAGGTAGGAAAATCGGAGGGGGGGAAAAAGACAGTAGGGTGACTCACATTAATGTTTATTTAAAATATATTATAAAGCTTTTGTAATTAAAATGGGATGGTACAGTTGCAGACCAGTAGAAAAGAATAAAGTCAGCCTGGCGCAGTGGCTCACGCCTGTAATCCCAACACTTTGGGAGTCCAAGGCAGGCAGATCACTTGAGCTCTGGAGTTCAAGACCAGCCTGGCAACATGGTGAAACCCTGTCTCTACAAAACACTAGCTGGGCAGGATCGATTGAGCCCAGAAGGTAGAGTCTGCAATGAGCTTATGATGCTCTGGCCAGGGAACAAAGCAAGACTCTGTCTCAAAAAGAAAAGAAGAAAGTCCACAATATCAGTTGGAAATGAAGGAGGCTGTGTAGCCTGCTTGTTAAGGGCCTAAGCTGTGGAGTCATACTGGGTTTGAACTGCTTCTCTCCTTGTCATTAGCTCTGGGACCTTAAACAAGTTAACTTGCCAAGCTTCCTCTTCTCCAGCTGTTTGGGGGTGAAAATAAAATTTGTATCATAAGGTTCTGGAGCTACCAAGTGAGATGGTACACAGTGCACCACCATGTACCATGTTCCATGGTAAATATTGGATAAATGCTAGTTATAAATGGCAGCAGTAGAGTGTAGTAAAGGTAGCTTGTCCAATTAGTTGAGAAAAGATAGATAGTTGATAATTATTGTTTGGAAGAATTCAAAGATTTTAAACAAGTTAAACCATGAAAATACTATATGAAAGCAAGGCAGAGTGGGAAAGGCCTTTGTAAATATATCATAAAATCCAGAAGCCACATATAGGAAGAGATTGATAGATTTGATGACATGAAATTTAAAACTTTTGTATTACCAGAATATGCCATTTAAGAGATCTACAGATAAAATGAATTTGGGAGAAAATTTTTTTTTTTTTTTTTTTGAAGACAGAAGTCTGGCTCTGTCTCCCAGGCTGGAGTGCAGTGGTGCAATCTTGGCTCACTGCAAGCTCCGCCTCCCGGGTTCATGCCGTTCTCCTGCCTCAGCCTCCCGAGTAGCTGGGACTACAGGCGCCTGCCACCATACCCAGCTAATTTTTTTTTGTATTTTTAGTAGAGGCGAGGTTTCACCGTGTTAGCCAGGATAGTTTCCATCTCCTGAGCTCGTGATCCACGCCTTGGCCTCCCAAAGTGCTGGGATTACAGGCATGAGCCACTGTACCCAGCCAAAAAATGTTAATCTCATATATGAGAGCTAGTCTCCTTAGTATCTTACAAAACAGTGAGAGGAAAAGATGTGCTACTGAGTAGTAAAATGATCAAAGGCAAAGAGTACATACAGTCTTTTATTTATATAAAGTCAAAGAACCAGCAAAATTAAGTCAAAAATTGACTGCCATGTGGCATGGCAGTTGATTGGAAAAGAGCATGAGTAAACTTTCTGGAGTGAGAAATGTTCTGTATCTTGGGGTGGTTACAGGGGCGTATACAATTATCAGAGCTTGCTAATTATACTTCAATTTAAAAATTGGAGTGGCTCATGCCTGTAATCCCAATACTTTGGGAGGCTGAGGCAGGAGGGTTCCTTGAGCCCAAGAGTTTGAGACCAGGTCTGGGCAACATAGTGAGACACCTGTCTCTACAAAAAAAAATTTTTAATTTTAAGAAATTTGCTGGGTATGATGGCACACACCTGTAGTACCAGCTGTTAGGGAGACTGAGGCAAGAAGATGACTTGAGCCCAGGAGGTCAAGGTTGCAGTGAGCTGTGATCTCGCCACTGCACTCCAGCGGGGGTGACAGAATGAGACCCTGTCTCCAAAAAAAAAGACAAGGAAGTGTAAGTTAAAATAAGATGCTACTTTTTAATACCTATTGTCATTATAAACAATAAATTTAGTAATATCCAATGGTAAAAGAGGAGTTAGAGAAATGAGTGACTAAATTGGCACGGACTTTTCAAATGGATTTTAGATAAATTTATTTGTTGACTCTAAATTCCATGTCCAGTGCTTTTTCCCAGTGATAGATTCTCACAAAGATGTGTTCAGAGATGTTCACTGTGTCATACCTAAAACAACTTATACTGCTACAAAAAGAAGGTAAATTAAATTGCAAATCATTTTTGTATGATGTGCAGCCATTAAGAGGGATGAAGTTGATAGAGCTGTATGAACTATTATGGAAAACTTTCCTATGTAAAGAAAAACACATTACATAAATGATTAAGATTCTGTTTAAGTAATAATAATGTATGCATAGAAAGTTCCTTAAGGAATATTTAAGAAATGGTGAACACTGATTTTGAACTTTTTCTTCCTTCATTTCTTTTCTTCTTTTAGGAAAATGTCTGATGAATTTTCGGTAAGTTGATGAGTTTATCTGTGATAAGTTTTTCATCTCTTAAGAAAAACAACGTGGTCCTAACTGGCCTTCGTAAATCTTTTCACTTAAAAGAGATGCTTTAACCAGGCGCGATGGTGTGCTCCTGTAGTCCTAGCTACTTGGGAGGATCCCTTGACCCCACGATTTCCAGGCTGCAGTGAGCCATGATCGTGCCATTGCACTACTGCCTGGGCGATAGAGTGAGACTCTGTTTATAAATAAATAAAAGAGATGCTTTTTGTGATTCTTGGCTTTGGGGGTAGGAGAGGGATTTTGATAGGTGATTTGCCTTGGTGATTTGCCAAACATGGAGATAATAGCATGTTTGGAAATGTTTCCTATATTTCTTTATGAATCCTTAAATGAAAATTTAAGATGTTACTTCTATTCTCTTTTACCCTGATAGTATTAGTAGCCAACATTTATTGGAAATTATTATATACCAGGCACTGTGTTAAGTGTACTACATGAACTATCATATTTAAGCCTCAAATTAACCCTAAAATAGTTTTTGAAACTGAAGAAGCTCTATCTCAGAGTATGTAGCTCCTTTGAGGTTAAGCCAGGATTCAAATCCATACCTTGACTGTTAGTTCTATCTTCTTAATTACTGTACTTTGTTATATTAATACAGCAGAGAAATGAAGCACAATATGATTAGTTGTATTTAGAAAACGAGCTTCTCTGAAGAACTTGCACTGTAAAGTTGATATTCAAAGTTAACACCTCAAGTTTTATGTTAAATTGAGTACGTTTTAAATGACTAGCTTAGCTTTTGAAGATGTTCTTGAGGTTTATAATCCCTGGCCCTGTAGGTTACTGTTCTTTGTGGGTTTATAATGGTGTTTGGTATAACTTTTCTCTTGATAAGATAGATAAGATGTTATCTGTTTTGTGTTCCAGTTGGCAGATGCACTACCTGAACACTCCCCTGCCAAAACCTCTGCTGTGAGCAATACAAAACCTGGCCAACCTCCTCAAGGCTGGCCAGGCTCCAGCCCTTGGAATAATCCGAGTGCTCCACCTTCGGTGCCATCTGGACTCCCACCAAGTGCAACGCCCTCCACTGTGCCTTTTGGACCAGCACCAACAGGAATGTATCCCTCCGTGCCTCCCACCGGACCACCTCCAGGACCCCCAGCACCCTTTCCTCCTTCTGGACCATCATGCCCCCCACCCGGTGGTCCTTACCCAGCCCCAACAGTGCCAGGCCCTGGCCCCACAGGGCCATATCCTACACCAAATATGCCCTTTCCAGAGCTACCCAGACCATATGGTGCACCCACAGATCCAGCTGCAGCTGGTCCTTTAGGTCCATGGGGATCCATGTCTTCTGGACCTTGGGCGCCAGGAATGGGAGGGCAGTATCCTACCCCTAATATGCCATATCCATCTCCAGGGCCATATCCCGCTCCTCCTCCTCCCCAAGCCCCTGGGGCAGCACCACCTGTTCCATGGGGCACCGTTCCACCAGGAGCCTGGGGACCACCAGCACCATATCCTGCCCCTACAGGATCGTATCCCACACCAGGACTCTATCCTACTCCCAGTAATCCTTTCCAAGTGCCTTCAGGACCTTCTGGTGCTCCACCGATGCCTGGTGGCCCCCATGTGAGTGTTCAATTTGTTATTTAAAGTGTACTAATTGTACATAGCACAACTGAAAGATTGTTTCTCCCCAGTTTTGGATGGAAGATTAAGAAGGCTTTTAAGTTTTTAAAAGAGGGTGTGTGTATATTAAATGAGTAAATTTCAAACCTTCAGGTAAAGCATTTAAAAGGATGAAAGCAGTATTTTAAGTATCCCTTGTGCTAAAAAGAAAAATTTTCCAAAGATCCCCAAAGACTTTGTAATGTAGTAAGCAGTGTCCCTCAATAGCATCCTTTAGTTAAACTCTGAGATTCACTGGGCTTTTTGTTTTATTATTATTATTTCTCAGTATCGTTTCATAGCATCACACCAAAGTATAGTTCAGTAAAAGCAGTCTCTACCTGTCTAGCTTGATAGAGGTAGATTTTTAGAGAATCCAAGCCAGTGAGTAGGTAATGTTGCCCATCTTTCAAGCAATTCTCGAGCTCGGGATTGTACCCCTATTCTTTATTGTCAGTTACATGTAATGCTTTATGCTTTACTGTCAGACAAGCCAGAGTGGGGTTAACATCTTAGTTGAGGAGCCTGCCTTGGTCATATAACCGAATGGAAAAGTACCCCATTTCCCCTGTGAGGTAAGCCAAGCGAGTATCCAAACGCAGAAGATTTTCCTTAGGAAAAAAAAGTCTGTTAACTGGTTTGGTTTTTTTGTTTGTTTTTTTTTTTTTTTTTGAGACAGTCTTGCTCTGTCATCCAGGCAGCAGTGCAGTGGTGCGGTCTCTTGGTTCGCTGCAATATCTACCTCCCAGGTTCAAGCAGTTCTCTTGAGTAGCTGGGATTACAGGCGTGCGCCACCACACTGGCTCATTTTTTAATTTTTAGTAGAGATGGAGTTTCACCATGTTGGCCAGGCTGGTCTTGAACTCCTGACCTCAAGTGATCCGCCCGCTTCAGCCTCCCAAAGTGCTGGGATTACTGAGCCCACCGTGCACGACCAGAAAAAAAAAATCTGTTAACTCTTAATACACAAATAACTAGTCAGATCTCTGATTAGATTAGTCAAACATCCACTCCAGCTATAAAGGAAAAGAAATCTTTAAAGTACCCCCAAAACTTCCTCCTTGCATTAGTGTAATTTCTTGCTATATATATTATCTAAAAATATTTGTTTTGCAAAGTGTACGCCAGAGTAAGTGATGTGACTTGCTGTTTGGATTTATTAAGCAATAAATTTACTTTAAGCCACAGTAAGGAGTTAATAAACTCCATTTGCAAAATCTAGAAGTTGACTTTTTCTTTTTTCTATTGCAGTCTTACCATTAAGTTAACAATGGACGAAGAGATGACGCTTTGCTTTTTGAAGTACATATATATGCACATGAATGCATATATAAAAATTGCTGGTTTCACTATTAGAGGGCATTCATGAAAGAACAACTCTTGCACCTCTCAGAGAAGATAACTGCCTCTTGTACTTGGATGTGTAGTACATCATATGTATACAATCAGATAAAAGCATAGAAGTAAATCATTCAGATGTGATTTTTATTTGGTTTTCATGGAAAGTTAAAGTGATAAAGTATATTGAATAGCTCTTTGACAGAATTTGTTTAAATTATGAAACTACACACTTAAAAATCTAAGATGTGGATTATTGTTAGAATCTGCAACTTCATTGGTAAATTATTTCAAGTATTTTTCTATAATCACTTTCCCCTTCTAAATAAATAAACTTTGAGAATAACCCGTCATAATCCAAACAAATAATGCCTCAGCATTTTGAGCTACTCTGTCGGACAAATAAACCTGTTCCTCTTGAGGTTATATTTTGGATATACATTTTTAAACTGTCAGTAATTATTGTCAGATGTGGAGTTCATTAGCCAGCCAGTGTTCATTTTTATCCTTGAGCTTTCAGTAAAAACTTCCTGGTTTTATTTTTAGTCATTGGGTCATACAGCACTAAAGTCTGCTATTTATGGAAACTAACTTTTTTGTTTTTAATCCAGGACAACATGTATGTAAATTAAATTTTTAGATAATTGATTATCTCTTTGTACTACTTGAGATTTGATTATGAGATGTGCATATTGCTTTGTGAAGAGCTTGAGGAAGGAAATAATTCTCTCCTTTGTTTTGAACCTCAAACTAGATAAACCCTAGGCATTGCTTAATTGCAACAGGTAATTTTCATTCCCTCAAAAACCTGAGGCAGCTCTTCTGCCCAGAGCTTTCCCTGTAGCCATCCCCCCACTTGCCCTTGGTTCTTTAGAAGGAGCACATCCCTTGATTCCTCCCTGATGTGGTAAACTGGCACACTCTAGGGGTCTAAAACATAAAACAGTTGTGTTTAGAGAACCTTAAGTCATGCAGACATGACTGTTCTCTTTGTACAAGTGTGAATCAAAATATGTATCTGTTTTTCAGAGTCTGGTTAAGCTATGTCATTGTCTACTGCATAGTTTCCTGAGTCTATTTGTAAAGTGCTTATGGCTAACAGTTCAGTTCTGTATTTGTTGACAGGTAAATAAGTGGAGTTGAGTGCCATCTTTGAAAAATTTACCCTCTAGCTCTAACACTGAAAATAATAATAAATTGTAGATCTCTGCAACTAAGTTTAAAGCAGTGTGACTGTGTTGCTTAAATATTACTGTTTATAACCACCAAAAAAGTCCTAGTAGTTTTTTGGCACCTTATGTTTAAACCAGATTCTTAGATTTAGGGTAGACCTGACCTTGTTATTTATTAGATAACATTTTGAATGTATCCATTGGATTTCTAAAATGTATTGTGAATTTCTCAGACAAACAGGATTTATGCTGGAGCTCTGTTTTGCTTAGAAATAAAATATTTAGTGGTTTATTTCTGCTCTAATTAAAATGTCAAGAATGCCAAATGCTGCCAGTTTTTTGGTTTGATAGCTACCTCCTTTTAAGAAAGCAAAATGGTTACCTTTCAGAGGAACATTCAGTGTTTAATCCTCCCTTATGTTAACTAGATGATAAATGAAAGCTTTTAGAAATGAGAAAGTAGAAACTAATTTGTTAAGATATTTTCGGACTGCGGAATGTTGTTAGCTTTTTGTTTCACTTCTCTGCAAGGACAGGTGTTAGCTATCTACAATACTATTGGACTCTGTTGTCAAAGTAGCCCCCAGTCTACAAGGCAGGTAGCCTTGGCTTGAATTATCAATATCAAAATGTCAGTTAACCATGGAGGGATAAAGTAATGTGAAAAGTGAGATGACTGCAAAGATGTCTCTCCTTACAGTTATTTTGGCTGGCCTACATTGGGGTAAACTGACAAATAGCAGTATTTAGTTTAACACTAGAGCAAATACAATGTGACTAGGAAGAAGAGATAGCAGGTTTGGGAATCTATAATTATGAAGTCCATTGATTTGCTAAAGGATTCGAAGGGCCATGAACACAATTTGGGATTACTACTCCCAATAAATATAATAATTTTGCTAGTGACCGATACTGCCCAGTGTGCCCTAAATCATACTGCCATTGTACTCCCTTTGTTTTCAAGGACTTTACAAGTGGTATTTTGGGGAGTTTTTTTTTTTTAATATAAGAATGGAGATAAAAGGGATAATAGAATTTGCTTTTATATTTGTTACTTTTGTAAAGCATCTTTTCTTCGATTCTTGTTGGCATTCTGAGCCAAAAAGTATTTCAGGTTGGTTCAGTGTGGAGTTAAGAAAAGCAGGAGTTTTAGTGGAGAAATGGGGAACAGCATCGAGAAAGGCTTTTCTCCTTTTTGCTTTTTTTTTTTTTTTTTTGAGAGAGTCTTGCCCTGTCACCCAGGCTGGAGTGCAATGGCATGATCTCGGCTCGCTGCAACCTCTGCCTCCCGGGTTCAAACGATTCTCCTGCCTCAGCCTCCCAGGTAGCTGGGATTACAGGCGCCTGCCACCATGCCCATTTTTGTATTTTTAGTAGAGATGGGGGTTTCACCATGTTGGCCAGGCTGGTCTGAAACTCCTGACCCTGTGATCCACCTGCCTCGGCCTCCCAAAGTGCTGAGATTACAGGCATGAGCCACCACGCGACCTTTTTTTCCTTTTTAAAATGGAATAATGTTGCTTTCAAAACAAGACATGTTAGGCTGAAATTGGTTTATGGAAAAGACTGCTTGTTAGCAAGTATATTTGGTCTTAGGCAAGGAATACAGATTATAGAATATGCTGACATTTGAGCTTCGGAGGAAGAATTTTCAAATAAATCTAATGGAAGTAGTTGAGATATGTTCAGGAATACTGTTTCTGGAGTTGGAATCTTAAGTTTTGAAATGTTGAAACCAAAAAGACAAAAATTAAAACATAGACCTTAGGTCCTCATTCACACCCAGTTCTCAAGAAGCAAGTGGAGCACTTCAAATACCTTGGCTTGTCTGTCCCATCCTGCCGCCTTCTCATCTTTTCATGCTTTTGAAGACACCATTTACAGCTCTGACTCAGCCCTATTTTGTATAAAGTAATATATTGATTATTCAGAAATAGACAGTACATTTTTTAATTACCCAAGGACTGACTGCTTTGTCCATTTTACTGTTGGTTATCTTCAGTAGAGAATAGTAATAGGGCAGAGAAGAAAAGTATGTATTTTGCCTTAGTCCCACCACCACAATGGACTATTGGGATATTTTCTAAAAAACCAATCAATTTGCCCATGATCTATTACCTCACAAATAATTAGTGCCACCTATGGTACTCAAATGCACAGCTTTTGAAACTTTGTGTAGATGACAAAAGCTCTACTCGAGTTTTTGTTAAGACTGCCTAGTTTGAGTATCAGTCAATTGCCTACACCTCTAAACAATAAGTGCCAATGTCTCAATTTTCTCACCCTGAATGATAGAACCCTTTATCAAATGCCAGGGTTAGAAAGCCTGGAAATAAAACTTAAGCACAGACCTTCAAGTTTTTGAAAAGCATAAGCCTAAATTCAGATAAATCACACTGATACATTGTACTGTGCGTAGAAAGTTGTAGGTGGCGTTCAGGGAAGACTTTGATTTTAATAAAGCAGTATTTAGTATTGAAGACAAACACTTTATTTTCAGAATTCTGCCAAGTAAAACAAAAACTGCCAGTAAAATAATATTTTGTAAATGCCAGGCAAGCTTCTGGCTATCGAAAATATCTGAGTCATTTATTCGGTAGACAATGTTATCCTTGATCCAGGTTTTTTGCCAGCTATAAGGGAATCCCTGTCCTTGAGAGGCTTATAGTCTATAAGTAACATTACAGAATTCGTTAGCACACCCATTCATTGTTAATTTTACCTAGATAAACGTTGATTGCTACTGGTGGAAACTGTAACCAGCCTTTGGGCATTTTAAAGGGCGACATGTGGCATACCTTTTTTTTTTTTTTTTAAGAATTTAATGTTTTTCAAGATTGTAGTGTTGATCAGCGCAACAATTCAAGTGTGCAAAGTAACAGGATAGTTTGCCTCTTCACTTTACCCCTGGATAAAGGCACTTGAACTGCCTGTCACTGATTAGCAGATACTGACTTGTTGCCATTAAGTAAACTTCTGTGTGCTCTATGAAAGTTTTTTGTAATTTTCTTGAAATTGTGATTTTTCACTGACAGTAATGACAACTTTAATGTATGTAATTGTCTATGCATTTTAAGTTAAACTGCCTAAAATGTGATTTGAGACATATACATTTGTTTGTATTATAAATTGTAAGCAATCAGTTTGAGATACTAGGTTTTATCACCTGCTGCTGTATTTGTAAACAAAGACAAATGTTGCTTTAAGAAGTAATTATAATTAGGAATAGGCTATGGATGTGATACTTGATATTTTTTAAGATAAACTTGTTTGCTTTTGTGTATTATACCTGGAAACTTTTTTTAAAAAATGTATTTTCATGGTTTCACAGATATTTCATGTTATTTTATTCTTTAGGCCCAATTCTGGGCTTCTCTGAGCAAGTCCAGAGCCTGATTAACTGCAAATTTGTTGTCAAAAAGGAAGAAAAAAGGGCCTGAGATACCTCTTTGCATGTGACCTGCATTCACTAAGGATGTCTGGAAACCACCCTTCCTCCGCAAACCCTCTCAGCAACATGGTGTCCGTTGTGATTTTCTCTTCTTTCAAGGCTAGGCTACTCTTTGTAACCAGATTATCTGTATATGCGATAATATGAAGTCAGGGAACTTTCTCTGCCCGTCCCTACTCCCCTCACTCCCCCACTTTCTGTTATGAAAGATAGTTGTACTTTTATCATTAACTGCTACGCATTTAGTGAGGGTCACATTATTAAACCTGGTGGAGTTCACCATTTTCCCACAGGAGGTTTTGCTGGCATTCCTTGGAACTCCCAATTTCAGTAGGGCAGTGAATGAATGAATACTTTGCAGTACTACTTTTGGAAGGAGTTTCTGCTTTTTGCCTTATAATCGGACAAAATGCAGCTGTAAAATTTTAAATTGTTTTTGATGTGTTATTCAATATCCCATGAAAGTATTCACCTAAAGTGGAGTTATGAAATGGATGGTGATATAATAAGACCATTCTGGAGCAGAGCCAGTTTCTTTTTTTCCTGTTGTGAGATGACATGGCTCTGACAAACATGTTATTGTGGGTTACCTGACCCAGGCAAGTCCTTTTTTTTTCTTTTTTTATCACCGTATTAATACTCTTAGCAGCAATCCTTTTGCAACCGATCTCTAAAGCGAAATAGAATTCTAAATATTAGCTCACTTATTTTAAATAAGGCATGCAATAGAATTCTAGTGCCAGAAGAGGATTTGGGTCATCTCATAGAGCTTATTCCTGTGGCTTTTGTTTTTGACAGTCTCACTCTGTCAGCCAGGCTGGAGTGCAGTGGTACAATCTCAGCTCACTGCAACCTCTGCCTCCTGGGTTCAAGAGATTGTCCTGCCTCAGCCTCCTGAGTAGTTGGAATTAACAGGTGCATGCCACCAGTCCTAGCTAGTTTTTGTATTTTTACTGGGGGTGGGGTTTTGCCATGTAGGCCAGACTGGTCTCAAAACTCCTGACCTCAGGTGATCTGCCTGCCTCAGCCTCCCAAAGTGTTGGGATTACAGACTTGAGCCACCATCCCTGGCCCTCCTGTGGCACTTAAAGTTTTTTCTCTCATTTGGGAAAATTGATTTTCCCAGAGCTGAGGAGAGGATCAAGTAAGTAGAGCTTATAGCGCTTAGTCTCTCCTTGCTTTCCCTAGAGTAGTTCCACTCTGCACTTTATGTATTTTCCGTACTGATAAGTTGTTTCAGTACAGGGAGAGATTTGCTGCTTTTAAGTTTGAAAAAAACTGCCATTATAAATGACCATGTCTCTTACTTGAGGTTTATTTAGATCATAGTCAAAGGTTCCCAAGTATAATGGAATCAGGTCATCTGGGATTCTAAGCCATACTTAGTTTTACATAAGAAAAAAGGACATAGAACCTTTTAAGTTTTACTCTGATTATGTTTTATGTCAGAGCTTCTCATTTTATTTAATGGTCATTTAGTCTAGCTTTCCTTAAAGATACGTAGATTTAAAAGCCTCTCTAGAGATAAGGAAACCAAGTTTAAAAGAGAGATGCAGTGACTCATGCCTGTGTAAACCCAACACTTTGAAAGGCCAGGGCAGGAGGATCATTTGAAGCCAGAAGTTTGAGACCAGCCTGGACGACATAGCAAGACCCCATCTCCACAAGCCAAAATTGAAGGATTAGCCAGGTGCGGTGGCGTGTGCCTCTAGTCCCAGCTACTCAGGAGGCCAAGGCGGCAGGATCACTTGAGCCCCGGAGTTAGAGCTACACTGCACTCCAGCCTGGACGACAGAGCAAGACCCTGTCTCTTAAAAAAAAAAAAAAGGTTAAGTTCCCAGAGTCATACCACATAAATAATGAACCAGCTCTTCTGTTATCAAGGCTTCGAGTTTATCCACTAGGTTGTATTTTTTTGTTCAGGCATCTAGTACTGCAGTTCTCCTTACAAAACTATATCTGGACAATCAAATATATCTAAATTGAATGTTATGTAGCAGAGCTCACACATGTAGTGAGTTTCATTGGATATTCAGTTAAAAAAAAGAAAAAAGCTAATGGTTATGTTTGAAATGCTTTGTTTTGTGAATAATCACAGTTCTTAAAATGCTAACCTAGAACTTGTGTTTTCATAAAGGCAAATGTTCAAAGGTGTAGCAGTTAAGACTGGGTTTAAAATGTGAATGTGAGAATTAAGAAAAGGTAGTAGATGATCAAACCACATTGGAGACATGGGTATCCAGCTACCCTGCAGTGGTACACACTAGGCCAAGGCTGTCAGAGCAGCTGAGACAGAAGAGGTCTCTGTTAGCAGTGGATGGGCAGCCAAGATGTACAGGAACTGCACAGAGTGTGGAAGAGTCAGAGTGAGGTTCTGCCAAGCACGGCGTGACAGTTCTTTTTTTAAACGTGCCAATGCAGGACATGCTAAGTTAAAATATCTTAACTGTTGCTTAGTTACTGCAACACACAAAAACCCCAAGTACTAAGCTTAATGAATCACCTGCATCCTTTCTTGAATGCTCAAATCTACAAAAAGACCAAA